AGGTCATATTCTGGCATTCTCGTTGCACTCGCCCTACGCTCAGTTCTGCTGTGCACATCTCCGCTGCTTCGTCCTCGTCGAATCCACGGCGCTGACTGAATGAGACGCTTTCGAGCGTCTTCTTGAGAACTATCGATTGAATGAGTGCCTCAACGTGATGATATATACTGATTTTCTTCGCGTTACGTTTATGGAAGTTCGTCACTACCCTATCTCAAGTCATCACATACAGAATTTTTTCGGTCCAGCATTTAATCTCTGCACAGAGTTTTTTAGCCAGTAAATCATACTTTCGCTTGTTTTCGGTCTCAACTGCTATCAACCTGTCCTGACCAGCCTTTATCAGGATTACTTTACGTCGCTTCCTATTAGTGTACCCGATGTCGGGTCAATCCGCATTTATTCCAATTGCAGTTCCTACTCGCGTGTCGACTCTGATTTGCACGTTCTCATTAGCAAGGCTTCGTGAACGGAGTGGCTCCACATGCGTGGAAATGCTAGATCATACTTTTTGCAGTTTTTCTTGCACGTTCTAGCTCGTCTCTTGTCTGATACAGTTTCCAAGCATGCAGGTTGCTTGTGGATTCCGTATTGATTAGTAACTGTCTGATGACTGTCATGTTCAATGATCGAAAGTCCTCTAGTTCCAGTTTGAGCATCCCAGCATCCCAGTATAATAATTAATTAATCCTATGGCGTGCTCATTTACTGCCTCGATAAAGTTCTTCTCGTTTAGTGCAGTTTTGCTAGTCGCTCAGTTCTAGTCAAAATCTCTGCTCGCACTTTACCGTAGCTTTCTCGAGTCAGTAGTCCTGTCCTTCATCATGTCAAGGTATTTATACCCTTAAGTTCCTTCCAAGAGTACCACCTTATCAGCGCATACCTTAGTATTAGTAGCTGACTTCGTTGGATTCACCTCTAGCCCCACTATTTCAAAGAACTTTTCGACTTCTTTAAATTGTTTGACTCGTGTCACATATTTCGCTGCTAACTTGTAAGGGTTTGACAGGCAGGTTATTGGCCTGAACTCACTATTTTGGTTTGGGACATTTTTAGGAATTAGATACGTCGTGCCTCTTTAGAACCACGGATTTTGTTCCCTTCCGTCCAAGAAGATCCGCCTAGTTATTTTGCACAGATCTGGATGTAAGGAGGTGCACTTCTTAATGAAGAAGTTGTACTTTCCATCAGGGCCCGTCGCTTTCCTGTTGTGGAAACAGTAAACTATCTTTTCAAATTTGGCTTCAGATCACACACTTTAGTATCACACACTTTAGCGTCTAGAACGAATTCTTCCAGATATTCATTGTACTGATTATCATCATCTTTTCTCATTTTGGAATTCCCCATCGTAGCCCAAAACACTCTGATTTGTTCTGTTCCTACATTGTAGCTTACAGGTTGTTCTCAATTAGTTTTCTATAATACCGCCTTCTGAACAACTCAAATATAACGTTTTCAAAAAGCATGCTCTAGGCCTCATGACAGTCAGGTTTCAGACCAGTGCATACACTTTTTTCTTCCATCAGGTTTTTACCTTCAAGTTCTTTACTGGACAAATATCGCTCAATGAGTGTTTTGTGGAAGTTATTTTCACTTATCATCTTTTCTATGTTTGCATTCCACATCGATGGCTTTTTCACGCCTTGTCATCTCCTCATCGCATTGTTGTGTCGCCTGGAACTGCGTTGCAGGATCAGTCATTGACTTGAGGAAATTCTGTGTGTCATATTAATTTATCGCTTACAGTATGAGCCGGTCAACTTTCTCCGAGATTATTTTTCGTGTTCACTTGGTCTGGTCTATCTCAAGTTCTTGTGTTTCTCGCATCAACAATCGGTATTTCTCGTTTACATCTAGATAAATCTTAAACTTGTGCAGCTTATTTTGCTCGAAGTACGTTCCTTGTGCTTTTGCACGTTCCGTTGGCTCCTTCAAGAACCCTTTCTGCAAACAGGGACGTCCTGCAATACTGATAATTGCAGCATTCGTTTGTTTCTTCAGTTTTTTAAGGCTACTCGTGCACTCAAATTTCTCGTAGTACAGGGAACCACCACACAAGGGCTATTCGGCTCTCGGCAATCTCCCGAAATGGTCAACAACTGCCTTCAGCACTTCAGATCTTACTGGTTCCCGGTTCCGATAAGCTGGCAGAGTGCTGTCCTACATTTTTCACAGATCTTTTCACAACCTCACATGCTTTCGCATTGTTACCGCAGTTACCTCAGACTTAAATAATTATATATATATATATCCGTTTCGTACTTATCAGGTACATAAAATTGATGAAGCAAAATCCATTTGTGTCTTCTTCGGCGAGGAAGTCTCGCAAAGCTCATTTCAATGCCCCTTCACACATCAGGCGAAAATTAATGAGCGCACCATTAGCCAAAGACTTACGTACAAAGCATGGAATTCGTTCTCTACCTGTCAGGTGAGCTGCAAAAATTTTCTAAATCCTATATAGTCAAGTAATTAGGCGAAAGTTCTGGAGTTTTTCTTATAAATTTCATTTTATACGTTTTAAGAACTGTGATAAAACAAAGTTTGTTATGTTTTCATAAGCATTTTTCAAGTAAAATGCTTTTATTCATGTAGATCTTTTAACAACTTATTAGAATATATGCATTTGTACAGAATTGATGATGAGGTGACCGTGACTCGAGGACATTACAAGGGCAATGCTGGACGTGTGATGCGTGTTTATCGTAAAAAATTCGTGATCCATATTGATAAGATTACACGGGAGAAGGCGAATGGTTCAGCAGTTCATATTGGAGTTCATCCATCCAAGGTTTTTTTTTTAATACAGCTTTTTTAATATGAATGAAGTTAATGGCATTAATGCGTATTATTAGCTGGAAAAATTAGCGATAGTTTCTTGGTGGGTTGCTTATTTAGCAAGTGTAGTTTATTGTATTCTTACGAATATATGTGTGTTCTTACAAAAATATGTACTGAAGAAAATTAGGCAACTCTTGGTACTGTCGTATTATATTCAGATGTCGAAAATTGTTTTATCACTTCTTGAAAAGGCTGGAAAATTTTGGTCAATTTTACATGGAATAGTGTGTTCAGTTATATGAGCAAACTGAGCTGTTTTCAAGGTAGCTCTAACAAAGCTAAAAATGGATAAAGATCGTCGAGCAATGATTGAAAGAAAAGCTGCTGGTCGTGCACGCATAACAGGTTTACTGAAGGGTAAGCACACTGAAGAAAATATCGCTGATGAGTAAGTGATCGAATGTTATTTGTTGCAACTTCTGAGGAAATTATGCAAGACAATTTAAAAGATATTTTTTTTTGTTCAAAAACGTGTTTGGCAATCTGAGCTGTAAACCGGTAAATCATCTTAAAAACGCATTGCAGAACTTATGCAGATTCATCGAATAACGTGTGATCACGCATATTTGAGTTTGTGCTTGCTGAAACATTTCCAAAAATACAATGCATTAAGATCTAATCATGTCTAAAAAGCAATTTCGTAGTGAACAGTTCTCCAATAGTGTTTTCAAATTTATTATAAGTCAGTTAAGAAATCAAATAACAGGACTATGATGCGAAGTGTAATACCTGTACTTAGTTCTGTTTCTGTTGAAGATAGAAGATCAGTTGAAAACTTTTCTATATCTGCTAATGGCGAGAGCTGAATAAATTATCAACCGTAATTGTAGTCGTGGTATTTCTCATATTAGTTAGAAAATCGGGAGATAGTTATTAATAATAGTTATTAATAATGAATGTCTTCTATTAAGTATCATAAAAAGGAAATATTACTAGTAGTCTCTGAGACAGTTTATTACTGATACAGGTACCGAATATTTTGTCTTGAAATACAAGATGCACAACCTGATTCTAGAAATTATTCAAAGCTGTTAATGGGTTAATACTGAGAAAATCTTAATTTGTGGTGGCTTTGTTAGCCCGTTGTCTTCCTTAAGATTTTGAACCAATAATAGCACTACTTTGCAATACATACAATTGCTTGTAATTTCTTTTGCATCTCCGCAATGTTCTGCAAGAACTCTGTTACCAGTCGACGGAACTCAGCGTTTTTGTTCTTTAGTGTGATTGTATTCAGCATTTTGTATACACAGTCTATACGTAAAATGGCCTGAAGACAGTTCCTTTTTATTCTTGTATTTACAGCATTTAATGGGAAGACTTCATGTCCTAAGGTTAATTATTCATGTAGTTTCAAGGTGTATATGATGCGAGGTATGTTGATATTGTCGTCACTATATCAACCCACATACGTCATGTAAATTAGAATCCACTTCAGTTAAACCGTAGTATCGGTTCATCTCGAGGTGAAGTACTGTGTCTTTCTCAGGGATCTAAAAATTGGGCTTAATGTGAAATGGCGGGTAACTGTTGAGTAATAACAGTGATGCGTGGGTGCGAGAAACATTAAATTCAAAAGAGGTCGTATATTGAGTTTATTGCATAGATAAAGAAAGAATAACTTCAGATGATTCGAATGCATTGAAGTCGTTTTTCAAACGGCAGACTGGTTCGAGACGACAAGATTCTGGTAACTGTAAGTACCAGTCCTATATATATGTTGGGTTGATTATATTAACCAAGCTATGAAGCTTACGAGTTATTTGTGACTCACTGAAGTCTCTATTGTCTAATCACTGGTGTGGCTTCCCAGGTGCTGCATTTGTTCATCTTATCCTATTATGGTGAGGTCATAAACTATCGAACTTTGCACAGAATTTCCTTTCTTGCTAAGTTTTATCTAACATTTATTCACCTGCTCATAGTCATTATCTGCCCATCGATCATAATAATTTTGATCCATTTCTTTTTTCGTCCTTCGTGCAAAGAAAAGTCTTTCTAAGTGGAAATTCTATGCTTCAAATAAATGCTAGTCGCAATAAGTGGAGATTTCGGAAACTATGATCCTATGAATAAATATTCTGGGTTGACTTCTACCCTACACCATACATAAAGTCTTTTGGTTCCTGAAAACACGAAGTCAAACCTCGAAAATGGTCAGGAAATTCAGAGTCAGAAACAACGACCCCCCGCTCAAGTTCCGCGTCCAAAAAATAAACAAGTTTCGGCACGACCGAAATTTTTATCCTTCCAAAATAAGCCAAATCCTTTAAAATCCCTAAAAAAAACGCATGGGGTCCCACTTTCATACAACCGTCTCTGCAAAGTAGACCCCTAATCTCAATGCTGATACCAAACGACTATCACATTTCAGGGAAAAATGAACCGAGCACATATATATGGAAGGCGTATCATAAATAAATGGATAGTTAATTGCTTTCATCCATACAAACAAGTCAAATCTAATGAGTACTTATGTACTAATTCGATAATATGATACGTCATCATGCTTCCCAAGATAATCATGAAAAGTTTTCTATTAAATCACGAATCCACCATACAGATATCTTACCATACAACAAAAAATGATGCATGTTAAAAGAACTGGACATATGAATTGATTGGGTCAGAGCTAAACCGAAAATCATGAAATATATCATGTTGATTACAATTATGACTGAAAGCAACACTGATATGAAGCCACTCAAAAAGCATGCCTACTTATGAATTAAATTAAGCGAACTGAAGGACTAATTTACAGTCGTATTCTGCATTAAAGTGCTTTAAACAAAAGGTAATCATATTTTTAGTCAGAAAATTTTCAATGAACTTGAAGCAGAGAAACTTAAGCAAAAATAATAAAGACTATGTGACAACCAGTGAATTTTAGGTAATGAGTGAAAAATCTACTTCGCGTGGACACATCATGACTATGAATATACATAACCTAGCCTACAAAATATCTGCTTCTATCTCCAAAAAGAACGAATAAAAGATCGAGATTGAAATGGAAATAAGTGAACAACAAATTTTTAAATGGACTGTAAAATGATTAATGATAGTGGCAGCCAATTATTCAAGTCCAAGAGATCGAAAATAGCAAAAGCGAAATAGATTACATTTTATTTTATAACATGGGAGTTAATGAAAAAACAAAGATTGACAACAAATGAATTCAGATAAACCAAAATTCATCACTCAAGTTTTATGTTAACTATAAATTTTAGACTTATCTGCATGACAGCCCAGCATTTGTAAAAAATTCATGTATAAAACCTTCAGTAGTTTTAACAGAAGATATCTAAAAAAGTTAACCAAAAAAACCCCACAATCTCCCGACTGTAAAAAACCTAAAAATAAGTGGCAATAAACAAATATGATAATATGTATACATTCATATTATTATATATATATAGTTATTAAATATGTATTTTACCGTTTCACAACACTCCAATCATTGCGTGATATTTTTTGGAAATATTTTATTTTTATGAATAGTAATTTATACCAAATGATTCCAATTACAGAGCATAATATTACTGCGATGTAATAGCCATCCACAACAACATCACAAACTTTTCCTCCTGCTGTGCATTCATCTTCCAACACTTTTGTGCTGCATGAACCAAGAATGCTATAAAGCAATTCCATTTTTTTCGAAAGTTAAATATATTAATCAAAGCACTATGTTTTCTCGATCAGGTTACCGCTTTCTTTGTAGCTTCATACACAACAAAATTTAAATGTTATTAAAAAAGACAAAACGAAACCAATATGGTCATGTAACCCATAACTTGTGAGTCATAATGAGTGAAAATAGTATTATCTACATGGAGAATTACAGGACTTCGCAAGAGTTAAATGTAAAATATTCAGAAACACTATAGAGTCTCAAAATTTAGTGTTATTTTATAGAAACTTATACAAATCTAAAAAACAAAGGCTCATATGCTTAATATGAAATCAGAATTGATGGCAATATTATCTCGCTTACACTTTCGTTTGCTGATCGACACAATTTTTAAAAGTAAAATGATCGGTAATTGAAAGAATTAGAGTTACAGGCCAGTTGCCACCTAGGTTGTTTAATGTATTCAGCAGGGTCATGTAAGTGCCTCCAACTGCTGGATCAGATACCTGTGCATTAAATGCCATCATCGATACGAACATACTATAAGATGCAACCTAAATGGCATCACAATTAAAATAAAATAGTGAAAAACATGCTTACACACCCTAAATAATCTGCAAAATCGATACAATAAAGCAAGAGTAAAACTATTCAAAATTTAATTTAATGACTATGATAAATACAAGCCAAACGAATGCACTCGAAAGAAATATTTATTTAATTCACAGTATACGGAGACAATGGGTATTGAAATTGCATTATATGAGACTAATATATAGTAACATGTAATGGCGATAAACCATGCCTGTATATTACTAAAAATGCAATAATTTCCTTCTTTTTTTTGACAGAGTCAGTAGGGAAACTTGGTAGTTCGACTATTTTTAAAACTTTGTGTCACCATTCTTCATTAAATATAGTTAGTACTCTACCTGATGAAAGCAGTACGCTGCAATCCAAAAAATATATAATAAAACAGAGAAGTCACCCGAAGACAACTTGAATGAGGGTGTCCACCAAACCATAGCGGCAAAAACTCCACTCATAAATATCCTCAATAGTTATCATTTTAAAATGTTTTATTGCAACAACAACAGTAAACTATAGAAAAGTTTGTCTAACCTATACGGATAAGCAAGTAGAAAAACATCAAGTGGTCGTGGACCAGATGTATATCTACCAATTGCCCAGGGAAGAAGTATCTGAAACAAATATATACAGTAGGAAAAAGTTAGACAAAAAAATTTTCTTAATTTCAATGTGGTTAATGAAATACTAGAAACGAACCTGTAATGGAGTTAAAAATACAGCCATACCAGAGAGTTTATCCTTTGGCATACCCATACCAATCAATTTTAAACCTGTTATGCCATCAGTAGCAGCGAATGCCAACTGAAAATAACTAAATAATTATTCTGATATTTTCTGCATAGCACAATTTTTAACTTTTAAAAAATTACTTAGGCATGATTTTCCCACATTCAAAGCAAATATTACCAAAATTATCTAATTTTCAACTTAAGTTTTAAGAATTTTTTTTCAATAATTTTCTAAAGCGAACATACAACTTCTTCAAAAACTATCATACACAGAAAAAATTCCTCCCACCATTATAAACATCATACCTTCCCGGTAAGCAATACAAGAACCATCCATATCATTGGTTTTAGCCGCAAGATTCTCCATAAAACAGTATATGTTTCAATAATCCCAAGTTCCAATTCTTCACTTTTATCATCTTTTTCATCTCTAAATAACAAATCAACTTGCTATTCAATTACTAATCTATATTTGATCATTTGAAACTATTACTAAGATTTATGAAGGAATAATTTTTCAGTACCAATCATTTATTTTTTGAATGCTTAGAACCGAATACACACATAAGGAAGAAACGAACTTGTTTGAAACTGAATAATCAATTTCCTTCTTAAATACGAGTACGGCAGTCGTTGTGATTAAAAATACCCATCCCCAAAAAAAAATAAATCCTGCAACATATATCTAAGGTTCAGAAAAAACCAAAATATGATCTTGTTACATTCTATTAATGAAACTAATTCTACAAAACTGATCATAATAATAAACTGAAACACGAAAATTAGAAAAAATAGCTAAAAGTGCACTTTAAAAAAAATGAAAAGGCAATAAACGAATTAAAAGCAGAACTACTATGAGAAAAATTTTTTTCTGATCCTAAGGTTTTACTAAACACGAAAGTTGCAATATTTTATTTCAACTTTTTGCGTTAGAGATCAAAATAATTAATTGACTATTCGCTTAATTACATTCTTCATTTACTTTTTTAAACTCTGCCTTTGGATTAACAACACTCAACAGCACAGGAAAGTAACTGAGTTGTCTCACTGCAACATTAAAGAAACTTTAAAGAATGGGTATGAAAGTAAAGTCAAATTAAAGTCAACAAATTTGATACTCAAAAAATATATTTCCAATGAATAAAGGGCTTGAAGAGACAAATAATTACAGCAAGAATTCTAACACAATCAAGACGTTACTCTAAATTTTTCCAAAATAATTATGGCAAGAATTCTAATACAATCAAAACGCTACTCTAAATCTTTCCAGTTAATCACATTACTAAACAGCGCTCTTATATATTCATGCATTAATTCTGTCTGAAAAAGTAATATTTTTATGTTGATGCAAACTGTTTAGAGACTATTTTCCGCCTCATTTGAAAAAAAGCCCAAGAGTTCATTTTTTTTATCGGAAAAACTTCACAAAATTTGTTATTTAAAAAAGAAATCTCAAAGAGAATGTAATTCATCATTTTTTCAGAGTTATATGCAATTCTACACTTGGTCGAATATGAGCGTCACTTATTATTACATATTGGGTTTCATTTCTTTAGAAATTTGAAAGAAAAAGTTTGAAGCTACCAATAAATCACCGAAGGCAAAAAAAGAAATACTGGAGTAGTGACAAATCTTTGCAAAACAAACCATTAACCCAAATTTTAATCTTGAAATGCAAACCAGTCATAAGCGACAACTGGAATTTCATTCTATCACACCATTCATAGTCTTAACTAGGATTATACTGGGCGTGCGTGCAAGTCCCAAAAACCACAGCACAACACACATACACAGACGCACACACATACACACCCACATACTTACAAACTTAACATATCCAATCCGGGCAGCAATTTAAACGTAGCACGCTGAAATTTCTCCGCGATTAATAATCATCAAAGAGACGAACCGAACTGAGCTTGCTTGAAAGCTAGCTGCGCCTGGTGGCTTGCTCATCGACCGAAACTTCCTACCACGGTTTCTTTGTCAGTCGCCATCAATCGAGACAGTGACTTTTGTGTGCGCAAGTGTATGTGGATCTGCCTGCGTATGAACCATCAACAATTTGTGATACTAAAATAGCCTAAAAGCTACAAAACTATGGTAGTAATGGACCTAATGATAACATGCAACAAGCACACAAGTCGACGACACCTTTGTTTACTTCTCTTCTGCGCAGCTACTACAACAATCATATGTCAAGAAGAATCAACCACTGGTCAGTTTATGATTTCTATCCACTTCTAGTAGAATTCAAGCACGACAGCTGACTTTTTTACCCTTACACCACCCAGCACATTTCTTAATCCACCTCACTTCATTAGACTCAATTTAAGGCATTCGCGCGAGTCAAATTCTTTGCCTCTCAAAATTACCTCCATCAAGCAAAATATTTAGTCTTGCCCCGCCTAAAAGATCTTAATCTCAATTATTCTAATTATCACAAATAAAACTCTATTTTCTTTCAGTCACTACTTTTCACTTTTTGTTTCTCTTCATTTTAGTTTCAGCAAATAGAATAGATAGTATTTCGCTATTTCAATCTTATTAAAATGCCATATCGGTTCCAAATCACTGCAAACACTCTCATACAAATTAAAAACCCTAGTAATTTGCTTCTTATAGTTTTATCGATTTGGTGCATGATCACAAAAACTAAAACAGCTAATTCAAACTTTCTGAAATAATTTTTTTGATCTTGCCATATCAACTCCTGCTGCGAAATAATACAATTTCAACATTAAGCAAATTTTCTTGCTTCTTTTTTGTTAAATAAAAAATTTTTAAAAATTGTAGGAGCACATATTACAATGGAAAACTGCAAATCCGAGAAACTTCGCGAACTTGTGTTGGAAACAATTGGTCTTTTTCCCCACCAATACAGCTATCAGGCACGGTATATGAAAGAGCAAGCAGAGATACGCTTCGGCAATTGGTGGTCAGCTGTCATCATAGGTGATCGAGGTGGTTATGGAATGAGTGCTATTTATGATCAATATGCCAACACAAGGTAAGTATTATACCAATGTAAGCTTTCTTCAGTACCAAAATTTATTGACTGCTACAACAATAAAATCAGCCTAATGGATCTTAGCTTAGTTTTCTGTTGAAAATCATAAAGTACCCACTTTACATAGTAGATGAAACCTGCACGCAGTATATCAGACTTAATACTTACTCCAATACAAGAAAAACAAAATTGAATTTTTTGCATAGTGTAATAACACTTTTCTTCATAAAGTTGAAGGTCTTATTTACATTTTTACAGTTGTGAATTGAGGATTTTCGATACATTCTACTGGATAGGACGAACAAGCTAGCTGGTGAAATAGCTAAAACCGTCTCAAACCACCATTAACTTTGCCAACTTTCATTTTGACCCTTTTTGCCATAAACTACTTGATTCCAAAACCTTGATCATCTTATTCAAAATGAAAAACATTGATGCTACCTAGTTTCAGTCTCTTGTTCCTATAATTAAACTTATAAGAATAAAACAGGAATCGATTCTTCCCCTCAAAACCTTAAAAATCTTATTCTTTCCTCAATTGTAATAAAGGAACATAGTAATTCACTAAAATTGAACTTTCAAATTTTCTCATAATTCAAGAGGATATACTATCCTACTCCACAAAGAAAATGCTATTTCAGTAATTATGCAAAAATAAAACTGGGAATTACATTTATTTCTGCAAAATTACAGCTTTATTCAATATTTATTTATTAATATCAAATGTCTTGCGCAGAAAATGAGAGCTTACTCTTCACGACAGAAAAGTGAAAATCGACAAAAAATTGGATTAAAATAGTTTACGTTCTAAAAACCAACTATCAGATTTCTACCCAAAACAAATTCTTTGATATCTGATAAATGAACTCACTGTATATCACTTCACTATTACTTAAAAATGTATATATGTTCCATCATTTTGTCTATTTTCATCCCAGGATTCAATTTTCATGCAGTAAACAGATGACAAAGAAAAAATTATAAACATTTATAGGACCTACGCTACATAATGAACACTTCAACTGATCACTGAGAAATGAAATGGACAACTAATCGCTTATTTCCATCCATAATGTCTGTTGACAATTTAATTATGATAAACTACAAACTAATCAAATAGTACCCGCTCCTAAGATTTTAAACAAAAAAATATATCTCATTTCGCGTGAGTAAACTCATATACAAAATAAATATCAGATGATTAAAACGATGCTGACGTAAGTCCTTTAATTCCCAACATTTGTGAGTGATTTTTAATCAAACAAAAACAGAGAACTTACCAGCTAATCCCACTAAGCCATATGGTTTTGGTTCCGCACGGAAAAAACGATTAGCAAAATCCGGTGAGTCGAGCGTTAAATAACCAACATTACCTAGAAAAAAACCTGCCGTCTGACCAACTGCGTTGCAGGTTGACGCATATCCAACATTTTTCCTACAATACTAACATAAACTTAAATAATTTTGATGAAATCAAACATTAAGCAGTTGAGTTTATTTTGTGTATAGCATACGCAAACATTTATAATTTATGTCTGCTACTGAAAGATTTCCAATGAAATGAGATTGCGTTGAAATGTCAAGCTTTGAAATAAATACTTTGAAATATCATGATATACCGATAAAAGTTAAAAATAGTTTCCTGAATCAATAAAACTCATACACTGCAAAGAACTGAACAGCCATCTAACCGCTGAACAGAACAAAATGTTTAAATATGTATTAACCTAGAGAGCATAGTAAGCGCCCAGCCATCAACTGCTATATCTTGAGTAGCAGCGAGAAAATTCAATGGCAAAAACATCAACATTAGTACAAATACATTTGGTGGATTTGAATCTAAAGCAAAACTTAGATGAAAAA